ATGACCTCTGAAACGTTGGTTAATATCGACCAGACTACACAGCGCAACAACTCAGAAGACAGGAATCTTCATACTCACCGCTGTGAAAACCTCAAATCTTACAGGGCTATATGATTTTCCTCAGCTTCTCCAGGTAAATTCAAAGATGAAGCCTTAAATTAGGCAACTACCGCTTGCTTCCAAATACTTTCTAATTAATTATTCATTACTCATCCTGTCATCTGAACTACTTACAATGTCGTTAAAAAATCCACAAACACGTTAAACGACAGTGAATAAAAATGTGTCGTTCTTCTCGCATATGTGAGTTATTTTTTATCGTTTTCAGACATATTCTAATCATGTTGCAGGCGACTGTTCACGCTGCGATTTGACGTAAAGGAAGTGTTTTGTTGACCATATGTTTTCCTTTTCACCACACATAATCTTAGCATTACAACATTTGACGTTGCCTAAACATTTTGGCTTATGAACGTCCTTAAATACCTAACGAGCCATCCAAGATAAATCAGAAAGGAGCTATCTCTCACTGGCATGTGTTTGTGAAAAGCGACAGGGGACGAGTTTCAGTGCCAATGGTAAATCCGTGAAGACCAATGAATGGTTCTAGCAACAACTGAGTATTGCGTGTTTTGCTATTTACAATGTGATAACGTGGTTTCAATAGGAAGGAAATGGCTACTGGCCCTTTAATTGTTCGTAATGAGCGGCTGTTTCTCCTACTGAATAATACGACAGCTACAGAGAGGGTTGAATGCTTCAATTTAGGGCGGCTTTTGAACGCTGGATGCTCTACCATTATTTCACTTCTTTATCAGATCAGTTTGGCAAAGGATTGCGAATCTGCATCATACAACACCGATAATGGATCAAACATTTGAACAGTAAAATTAGTTGCATGTGTCCTGGGAAAAATAGTGTGTCAATTATAGATAATTTGATTTCACAGTTCTGAACAATGTGTCATGTTTTACATCCTGTTATTCTGGAATATTAAGTGTAGTTAAGGATCGAAGTGTACTTACATCACTATGATATTATTAAAATGTTCAGTTTCCGAAACAAAATTCGATATTTTGTTTTCCTCACTCTTTATGTTTTACGAATACATTTCAGTGAAAATCTCATTTACAGACACTCTTGTCTGTACTTCGCCAGTGAAGAGAAACGTGTAGCATCATCTTTGGAAACTAAGAGAATTATTTGTGGTTGCGCAAGAGTGGAAACTTTAACTGATACAGAGGAAATTTGCTTTTTATTAGAATAATTCTGAATGGAATACGTTAAACACACTGTCTCCAAAGGCCAGAGTAAGAAATTTCAATAAAAAAATTAAATTATAATGACAACTTTAAGTGTAAATACCAAAACCAAACTTACTTGAAATTTGTCCAGTGTTTTCGAACAGAAAACATGCAGATGTACACGCACTAGGTTTTAAATCTGTAAAATTTCTGTAAAGAATACATAATAAGATAGAATTTTTGGTCTGGTTGGGTCTCGTTGCTGTAGTTTAACTTCCTAGTGGAGTAAGAACAATTATTTGCTGGGAGGAAATTGATCTCACAAGCTACGATGCACATTTGAAGCCCTTCTTAACGTCTCAGAAACTTGAGCGCTGGGCACATTTTGATGTCACAAAAATTAAGTATCAGGAAAAACATTGACAAACAGAAATTCGATTTGCGATAAATTTAGAGGGATGCACTGTGGAAATACCAGTTCGAAAAATGTTATAATCCCGTCTTTCCAAAACAGCGAAGGTTCTTTGCGTATAGAAAACCATAAATTTCCCGTCGGACGTCCTGAACTTGAGGATGGAGCACAAGACCTCTAGATATTGAGGGTAACTTCAAATACATTGAACAAGCTGTGGCGAACAGCCGACAAGGGGCAGGTATATAGTTTGGGGGTTAGGTAGGGGCTAGTAACACTCCACTCTGAGAAAAAAACATGTTACGAAATGTTTACACAGGGCTACGAGCTTGGGTGGATTCTTTTGAAAGACCTAAGGAACGCTAAGGAGAATATTTGGATATAGGAGGAATGAAGTGTTGGAATCTGAAGAACACTGTATATTGAGGAGCTCCATAACGTTTAATTTTCACTGAATATTAACAAAGAGATTAGAAATGCATATGCAAATTTGGTTTGAAATCCTGATGGGAAGAAACCATTACGAAGTTGTAGGCATTTGAACCTTATGCTGTTATTAATGTAATCTAAGGTGTGAAGTTTTATGGGGTCAGGAATAATGTCCTAAAGAACATATAAAAATGAAGTGAAATGATTTGTAAAGGACTTGATATCTGTCGCAAAAAGAATCAGAATTTTGTCATTAATAATGCACCTTCTGGTTCAATAAATTTGGGGAACGTTTTGACCATCTGAGCAATAAAATACATCTGAAGGACATCATCTTTTATGCAGCATGCTCGGATGTAATTCTGAAATAAAGTTTAGCCCGAATAACTGCCTCGAAAATTATGATCAATATAACTTGCCTGGCATATTAATGTTCTCATGCAGATGTTAACATCACGCATGCGCGTTAGAGCGCTACATGTTATTGAGGCATCTTATCACTCACACTGGGATGCCCACAACTCGTATAATCAAAGTAGAAAAGCCGATAACTGATAAAGGGTCAGACACACTGATCACATTAAGAGTAGGTCTGTTGTGAAATTTGCTTATTAGTGGTGGGTGAACACGCGATATTTGTGTGTTAATATAAATATTTGTGTTTAAAAGGTGAGTTCTGAGAAGATTTCAGTACTCTTAATGCCTTTAAAAATGCTATAAAATATGAAAAATTATTAATTACGCAATTTAGTGTTGCACAATTTTCCAAAAATTAAAGAAATAAATAACAAAAAGTTAAATATCGAAGTAATATTACGACATTAATCTGAGAATTTCGCAGTGTTACCATGTTCGTAGAAATTTAAAAGAAATGGGGTGTTCCTGATCCAGAATGCTAAGCGAAAAGAAGTATTAATACATGAAAAGAATATAAGTGGACAATACCCCAAGCAAAGAGACACCTGAGTTTAGAAGCAGTATAGGTGAAATATTCAAGTATTCAAGGCAGTCCACTGGTCGCGACACGATGTATCTTCGCAGAGTGTCGCTGGGAGAAATTGTGTTGTTCATCTTCGAG